AATCATGGTAAGAGAGGTTGAGTCCAACATCTGAGACCTGTTAGATATGGTGTCAAAAAAAATTAAATGCCTCATTCAGACTCTTTCCCATGAACTCTCATTGAGCCATCATTTCGACAAACTAACGTAGTCTAGTGGGCAAGGAGTTATAGAAAAATTCTATCAAAGTCCAATTCTCAAAAGCATGGTGTAAGCAGGACTGGAGAAGATCCTTGAATCTCTCCTAACTTTGGTAAAAGGTCTCTCCTTCTTTAACCGAAAAATTCATGATCTACCTTTTGAGTGCATTGGTGCGGTTTAGAGGGAAGAACTTTCTAAAAAATTCATTATGTAATGCCTGCCAGTCCGGTATTGAAAGGGATTATAAAGAATTTAACCATTGTTTAGCTTTGTCCCTTAAAGGAAAAAGTTTCAACTTGGCCAGCTCAGAATTGTTTTGAAAAGTTTCACATATTTCCTCAAAATATTTTATGTGCAGATATGAGTTTTCTGATTTGAGTCCATGAAAGAGAGGGAGTAGTTGAACTGTCCCCGTCTTTACAATAAAGAGAGGCGCATTTGCAGGAAAGATAAAACAAGAGGGGACACTACTTCTTGTGGGATACAAATAATTCCGCAGAGTTCGGATGTTAGGAACTTCCCCCTCTCTCACATGATCTTCCCCTTGTCTTACAAGAACTTCTCATTCTCTCATATTATTTGTCATGCTATTCTCAAGAGAGCCTGCTATTGATTTGGGTGAAGATGGTTCAGACTGATTTACAGATCCTATAGAATCTTCTGGCAAATTTTGAAAGTGAGGATCGTCCACAAACATAAAATAAAAATTTGTACACAATAAAAAAAATTATATATCTATACAAAAATGAAGGTCTTTTTACCTTTTACTTAAAAACACCTTTTATGGTTCCTCGGCAACGGCGGCAAAAAAATGACTTGATTTGAAATGTGTACACCCAAGTATGGCCGATCAAGTTGTAGTAATAATCCGATTAAGTCCGGAGTCGAATCCATAGGGAACTATTGTTGGTGTTTTGAAGTAAGTAATGACAAAGACCATGTGACTGTAACCTTTGAGATTTATAGGGATGATATTTAGGGATTTCCTTGGGCCAAATATATAATTCTTCCAAGAAGATTTTCTAGACAAAATATAAGATAAATGCAACTGTAAAAAGTCACTCTTTAGTTCAAGGATCTGAACATTTAGTTAATCATCCGGTTTATTATACTTGTGCTTGACAACTCAATTAATTCCTGTGTCAACATAAAATTAATTGGAAGATAAAGATGCATTGTGAGAATTAAGAGCATGATCCTAATGTCTTTGTAGAGGTTTACAAGAATTGTCTGTGTCGAGATTCAACCTGTCTACAAACAAGCAAGTGTCTCTACAAGGCATCCAACCATTGCGTTAATATTCCATTCTTTTAAATGAAGCACAATTATGGTGAAGATTATAGACGCTCTCAATGACTAGGCGCAACTATGTAGTCATGAAGATCTAGTCGGGGTACTTACCTAAAACCAATGGGTCTTTCTGTGCAAGAGTCATTTACGTCATAAAAAGTACCCTCAGTTGTACAAAGTACCTTATCTTTGCTAGATGCATTCAATCATTCAATAAGCAAGTGAAATATAAAATATTAAGGATAACAAATTGCACAAATATAACTTCCGAATGATTTATACATGTCCATCACCTCTTACTAAAGAGTGAATGAGGAACTACTCACTCTTCATGATTTTGGTAAAGCTAGAAAAGTGAGTGATGTTTATCCTTCAAAGTAGAGGAGTTACAAAATAAAATACACTAAACAAGGAGCCAATCTTTGACGAAGAATGAGTGAATCACGTTCCACCCTTCATGACTTTGATAAAGCTCTAAAAAAATGAAAGAGTTTCACTCCTCTAAGGGAAGAAGGAAGCTCAAACAATAGAAGTGAAAGAAACTAATAATGAAGTACAAGAATGCAATAATAAAATAAAAGAAAGCAATAATAAAAGGAAAGCAATAATAAAGTAAAAGAAAGCTAGTTATTTTTGGAGGGTTTTCCACTTCCAATAGATGATTTTACAAGTCCTAAGGGGTGGTATTTATAGGCAACAAGGGAGGTAAAAAGTCTTGATTGGAGGCTTTGAATTATACTTTGGCTCTCCTATAGTTTGTAGCTTTGACGCAGTTGGCTCCTCTTTAGTTTGTAGCTTTGACGCAGAAAATCCTGAAAAGAACAACAATTAATGCATTATCCCTAATTTGCACACTAATCGTAATTTGACTCTTTTAACTTTGTTAACTAACACAATTGACCCATTAACTTGATTAAATTATGCATTAATTAGGGTTAATCAGTATCATATTACTATATGCTCATGGTTACGAGTACCTAGCTAAACTTATTATTATATACCATTTCATCTATACGGTATTATGTATTTCATGCATGATTCAATTATGTAGTTAAAATTTATGTAATAGTCAGGAGATTTGGTTATAGAAGGGTTAAGGCTCGCCATAGTCAATATTTTTGATTCAATTGATAAATTGAAACTCCGTCTTCATTGAATTATAGACCTGTTGATCGATTAGTTATAGTAAACCTTTTGAATGATTCACATTCAAGTTTATTAGGGTTATTTTGTAAACCTTTTGAAATGGTTCACATTCAAGTTTATTAGGGCTATTTGGTTGTTGCAAGGTGTATAGACCTTCTGGCTAACTTAACAATTGTTGTGATATGGTTCAACCTACATATCAAACCTACCCGTTAACCTTCTGTTGACACTGGACTTAATTGTTATAAGGAGGTATTTTCATAATCAAAGAAAAAATGCATGTTAGATCCCCAAACTAAAGAGTAACCTTTTTCAATTGGTTTAATCAAAAGTTTATTTTAAGCATTTACTTATCAGTTCTAAGCTCACATCTCAAGCCATTGTATCACACACCATGCGCACAGTAATTTCATCTTTTTCTATTTTAAGATCCAGCAGATAATTTCCTATGGATTCGATCTCGGACTTCATCGAGTAATATTACAGTTTGACCATTTATACTTGGGTGTAAGATTAAGATCAAGTCATATCTTTATGGAGCTGGACTGTGGCTATTACAATCACACTCTGTGTTGAACTTGGCAATATGATGATTCATCCTTCTTAAGGCCTTTTTGAGCTCTTCGTTTTCTTGCCTTAGATTCTTCTCTTCATAATGGGATCTTTTTAGCATGGTGTTATGCATTTTTGCATGGTGTCATGCACATCAATTTGGTCTTGAAGAGACCAAAATAGATTCATAAATGTTGAGGTTTTCTCATCAGCACGTGGGGAATTTTCTCAGATCAAGCCATCCTTCTAGGTTTCCTCATCCAAATAATATCCTCCAAATGCTAGATTGTCAGGATTACCTTGATTTTCATTCAGTCTCATAATGGTGTCCTCCCTGATATCGCTATTAGAGGGGAGAAACACCTTATAGTTACGTTCGATATTGTGTTCAACATCATCATAGTTGATGCACGGTGATCCGATTGTGCTACTTAATCTTGACATGATCTTTTTTGTTTGATGTTTCCCATAAACGATGCCAATTGTACGAGCAAAAAATCTCATACCTTACTTTGACGACTTGAGCTTTAAGTTGATTGGAATACGAACAAGCTTGCACTAGTTCTCCTACAAAACGAGCAAACTACCAGAGACTGGAGTTGGATCGATCGGAGGTACTTCGATACTTAAGTCAGTAAAGAGTCTAGTAATAAGGTAATTTAGTAGGGAAAAGAGTGCATACATTTGACTTGAGCATTCCCCGATGTTTATAGTGTTGTTCGACATCCTTTCTACTAAGGTTTTTGTTGTTGGCTATACTAGGTGGCACATCTAATTCTTAGCCGAATCACTCTTGATTGATGATAAAATCTCTCTTAACTTCCTTTCTCATCCGCCTTACTCTTAAGGTACGTTGATCATGTTCACCCCCAATTTCAACAATATTCTTGTCTCTATTCATGATTTTTTGGGATGACCTAGCTTTCTAGACTTCTTACAAGATATTGCCCATGAGCTCTTCTTAGTCTTGCCTTTAACTCTGTTATGCTAATAGCTTGGCCTATTGATTCGAACGCTTGAGTCATTTGCTTAGTTGTTTGTGGTGGAATATTTTGTGTTTTCCCACATGCCTTCCATGTGACAGTTATTCGTTACGTGCTCTGAGACACATGATTTCATTAATTGACTCAATCATGTGTGGCCTTTTTTGGCCTATTGAACGACAAAACAAAATTGATTTAAAATTAATTTAAAGTTCAAAGAAATCAATTTTGAATTTTAAAGATTGATGTTAAATTGTTGGGGTCTATTGAATTGTAACTAAGATTTTTAAGTCACAATGTAATCTAAAGAGATTGTGATTAAGCTTTTTAACTAAACAACCAACAAAAAAAAGAAAGAAGGATAAATTCTATTTAACCCCTAAAAGATACAAAAATTCTCAGTCTATTCTCATGAATGATTAATTTTTTCATATTGTCTCCTCAAAGAAATAAAAACGTTGTAATATGGTTCATCGACTTATTTTTGTTTAGTCGTCCGTCTATTTTATAATTTCTGATTAGTTAATTTGAAACAAAATAGATAAACTACTAAACAAAAATAAGACGGTGAATCACATTTCACTTTTTTATTTTTTTGAGAGGATAATTTGAAAAATTTAATCATTTAAGGCCAAAATAGAATTCTTCCCCCCCCCCCAAAAAAAAAAAAACTAAATAGATCGTAATTACTTTTTTTTCTTTTACGGAATATCGTAATTAGTGAAAAAACTATTTTTTTTTGATTTATTTTTATAAACCGGCGTGTCTTCAAAACACTAAACCCTTCCCCAAATCTACAAGCACAGCAACGATAAGAACGGCCCTCCAATGCCCTAATGCCTCTTTAAATATACCGAGAGCAATTCGGAGGAAAGAGTCGCTACTTCAGAGAGGGAGAGAAATAGATAGATGGATCACATAGCAGCAGCAGAAGAGCGACTTGTGAACGACAGGTTGAGGCAAAAATTAAACGAAGTCAATGCGGCTGCACAAACCCAACTCTCAGCTGTCCAAGACCATATCAATTTCACTCTTCAGGTTTCATAACTCTCTCTGTATATGTATGTATATATCTACGTATATGTGTGCGTTTGTATGTATATAATGGTTGTTTTGATGGCTATTGTTGTAGCAAGCGTACTTCAAATGCGCTTACGAGTGCTTTGACAGGAGGAGGAAGTCAGAAGAGATTGGGAGCTGTGTGGAGCATTGCAGTGTTCCTGTTCTAAATGCTCAGAATCTGGTTGAGAATGAGATGGCCAAGTTTCAGGTGAATTCTGTCTCTTTCTCCTTTTTTTTTTTTTGGAAGGATTTTCTTACATGAATAATTAAGTCTAATAGTTTACATTCAAACCTTACTGTTATTTTTCTTGAAGCTGTTCTGGGTCATACTTATACATTCTTTTATACTCTTTCTTTTCAAATTTCAATGCCTACTTTTCATTCATGAATTTAAGGGCGTGCACACACACACACGGATGCTCTTAATGTATAGAAGTGGGTAGGCACGTGTAAGGACAAATTTTGTGTGATCAATTACACAAAAGAGGTGTCAAATTACAATCATTTAATCTTTAACTTTTGATTATAAGATGTGGTGTTGATTGTATTTGGCGTGCTTTCACGAGTACACAATATTTTGATTCTTGGTTGACTTAGTGAGGATGAGGGTCAAATTGTGTGTTTCTCGACCTTCAATTTGATGATGACTTTGGTGTATCCTTTCTTTGTACTTTGTGATTATCGGGTTGAAGATGATTTGAAGAATCTCTTGGAGAAGGGCCTTTAAGGTGTATTCTTCTCCTCATAGACAAGAGCTCCCTTGATCTGCCATTCTTTTGTTTTCTCCCTTTGCTTTCTTGGAAGAGTTATCTTATACAATGGCATTTTACTTAAACACCTCTCTATGGGCTCTATAGAGTGGGCCATCCATATTAATAAAAAATTATGGACATTACGTTAGGTTTGTATAATTTGGGCTTGTGGTATTTAGGTTCAATCTAATTTAATTTTGAAAACTTATGTGATTAGATTTTTGTACCCTAATTTTAGACATTATTTTTTTTTTTAAGTCTATGAATGCCCCCTCAACACTTATTATTATTTTATTCAAATTTAGTCACTTAGAATATTTACATGTCTTTATGTACATAGACTCCCAGTCCCTCCAGAATAAGATAAGCAGTTTTTCCCCATTTAAGACACCTCTATGACCCAAAAGTAATACCTCTTGAAAGTTTATCTTTGGGTCAACAAAGCTCCAAGAGTCTATATTAATCAGGTTTAATCTTTTTTCATGTCTATCTTATTGGTGTATTTTTGTTGTATTGTCTTATTAATAGGCTTTTTTTAAGGGGAAAATCTGGAACTAGACTTACCTCATTGTGACTTCAACGTGTTTCATCACTTTTCTTCTTCATTGATTTTTTTTCCTTTAGTGTCCATGTTTCTTTGCATGGCATCTTGACAAGTGCTATTCCTCACCTGTACTTGATTCAACTTTGTTCCATTCAAGCTAATCAAACGAAAGGTATGTTATTCTTTTCTCAAATAATCCCATGTGTGCAATATCTAGAATCATGGGCTTTAATTATTTTTTTGTTAGAGATGATGTAACTTAAGTTTTTATACTTCAATACACCTTCTCATGTGCAATTAGATTTTGTGCCTATAGATTCTTTTAATTATCAAGGTGGCGGCGAAATTTGAATGCAGGGGCTCCTGCTCTAATATCATGTTAAAATACCATGTATTCTAACAACTTAAGCTATTAGAGAGGACGTAACTTAAATATTTATACTTCTATACCAAGCTTGTCCTTATAAATTATAATAAAAATTGAGTTAAAATGATAAATAAGTATACAAACACAGAAAACAAAGATAATAAAAATAAAAATTTTGAGAAAAAGTTACCTAAGATCAAAATCTTGCAAAAAAGTCACTAGAAATTCAATTCTTGGGAAAATCAACTTAAATCAAATTAATATAAAAAATCAACTTGAATAAAATTGTCATGACAAATCAACCTAACGTCAAAAGTCTCGGAACTAAGTCACATTGGACAAAGTCACCTTAAATAAAACTCTCTAGGACAAAGTTACTTAAACTAACATTCATAGGAAAAATCACTCGAGATAAAATTATTGGAACATAGTCACCTAAAAAAATTATAGATTTTCAGACAAATCGATATAGATTGAAATCTTACAAAAGTTTAACCCAAGATAGTTGTGGGTTTTAAAGTCTTCTAAATAAAAAAAATAAAATAAAACAAAGCATGTGACAACGCTAGTTAGACTTGATTTGGCGGACATGAATATCAAAGTGACAAAATAAAAGGCACCAGAATTGTTCAATAAATGAATTTAAAAATTCAAAGATAAAGGATGTGAAAAGTTATCATTGTAAGAGGCAAAAAGTGAGTTTATCTCTCTCAAGAGATGTTTGGTTCTCCTATTCTTTCCAGCAAAATGAATAAATTGTCCAAGACCGAAGTATTTCGATCGAAGACACTTTGATACTTAAGTCAGTAATTAAACACAGGATTGAAATGCAGGGAGGATTCAACGTACCTTTTACTGTGCTTGCTTAATCCTCTTTATAGTGTCTATTTTTGTTAGGATTTTCATGATTGACTATGCAAGGTGGCACACCTCCCATCAATTTGGGATATTCATTAGGGATTTGCTGAAATTTCTCTAGACGCTCTCCCAGTTGACTAGCTCTTACCAAGCCATTGATTATACTTATTTGTTAAACCAGTTCCTCAATTATAGGCATTCACTTAAAATGATATTGTGTACATGTAGAGCTTGATTCTTTCGAGGCTGAGCTTTTGCTCTCCTTACCAAGTCCTTGATAGTTCGGCCCCACTTTGCCTAGCTTATCAGTTTACTATTTCCTCACGTGCTTTACCCTGTTACCCTCATGTGGGCGCATTAAATGCTCCTTACGTTTGTCGTAATTTCTGATGCCCCTTCACTTGCCCCCAGAAATGTGTGTCAGGCGTTTTTCGTCTGGCAGTGGTTTCATACTCCTAGGCTATGATTACATGTACACTTGAAACATGCACCTTATTTTGGCGGCATACTTTGCATTAATTTCCTGTCCTTTGATCTTTAGTCATTCTTTTTAAGCGCAAATTCTCATCATCTCTTCACTTGTTCTTCTTCCTCTAGCTTTCTTCTGTGTTATTCCGAATCCTACCTTTTTGTCATGGCTCATCTTCTTTTGAAATTACAGCTTTCAAAACCAAATACCAAATTTTAGACGACGTCTATATTCGAGTGGCAAGGATGGGCGAGCTTCTAATTGGCACCAGAGAGAGCATTCCTATCTATACCCACGCTATTACTGAAGGTGGGGTTTGCTTTCCTCTTCATCCCCTTCTCCTTTGAGTGCTTTTTGCATTGAAGCTATGCCCCATTAAATGTTGCCCAAATCTCTTTAGGATTGTGATGGGCGTGGTTGCTGTCAACAAACTGCTAAACTGGAGCCGGGGTCTTTGGGAGATTCTATTATGTTATATCATCAAGCCTGCTGGAGACAATTATTATCTTGTAGTGAGGAAGGAGGATCGTTATTTGGTAACTCATCTTTCAGACTTGAACAAGATCCATAAAAATAACATTGTTTTTGTTTCTGGCAATTGGAAGTATGCTGCTGGTGACACTCCTTATCAATGCCCTTACGAAGAAGGCGGACCAAGTAATTGATAGTATTACTTCTTTGTCTTTTCTTTAAAGACAAAAATATCCTTCTCTTTTGTACTTACTTTTTATTTTTACGCTGGTGAAACTGTGAAGGGGACAATCTTAGAGCGGTCGGTAAAGATGGAGGAGTTGAAGAGGGTGTGGAACTTCAATGACTCACTCTTTTGTCGAGCCATCCATACTCTGCTCAGGTACACTCTGACCTACATGTCATTTATCGCTGTTACTCTTCGACCTAATGCCATTCTTGCTCATGACCGCCTAACTATTCAGTCTGCTCGGGATCAAACCCCACGTTCTCACAAAAAGGCATCGTCTGGCCCTTTCGGGAGGGACATACCAGCAAGAAATTTTCTTGCATTTCTTTCTTCTTCCGAGAGATTTGTGACGGCTCAAATGCTTGCCGAACCCGTTGAGTCTGCTTCAATTGATCAAGTCGAGGCTGATAATGCGGCCTGTTTGGTGGAGTCTTTGGTTGGTTCAACTCAGGTCTTGATGGATACTATCCTTGAATCACCTATTCAATTTGAACCACTGCCTGCCCCTTTCTCGTGTTTATCTTTTAGAATCTATCCTCATACTACTAGATGATCCTACCTCCAAGAAACGTAAGATTTTAGAGCTTAAAGCTGTTCCTTCTAAGCCTGTTATTCCCCGTTTTAGACCTATCCTAAAGGCTAAGAGGAGAGAAATCACTAGAAGAGATTCTGCTGACGAAGATTTCAACGTGGTAGTGGGAATAGCTAGAGGTGTGATCCTTCCTCGAGACTTAGCCTCAAAGGAGGTGATGTCAGACAACGAGATCACAAAGCAGGCTATTCAACAAATGGTTCCGATATTTCCAACTCCTTTTGTTTCTTTTTGAAGAGTCTTTAAGGTTTTTTTTTTAAAAACTTTGTACGCCGTTCCTTGTGCTTTGCAGGGACTTTAGAAGGTTCATGAAATTGGGGCGAGGATTGCAAGGAAGGACAAGACCATGAAAGAGGCTATTCATGATCCCGTGTCTGTTTTGGCAAAGAAAGAGTCTATCGATGAAGAGTATGCCAAGCTTTGTGAGGAGATGCTGGTTCTTCATACTCAGATGCTTAGCTTGACTGAGGAGAACAAGAAGCTTGTTGCAGAGGTAGAAGATTTGAAGGCATCCGAAAATGCGGCCAACGTCGAGCTTACCCAAACCCAACTTGACTACTCCAACCTTTTGGAAGAGTTCGAGCGATTCAAGGCTGAAGCTAAAGATTTGGAAGATTCTGCCATTGAACAGGGGATGGAGAAGGCAGAGAATGACTTGACTTCATAAATTTCTACCTTGGAAAAGGCATATTTCACCAAAGGTTGGCATGCTGTGCACTATCCGCTGTAGATGTACCTCAATCGTCAGAGCTTTATACCCGTTATCCTTCTGCAAGTTCATTCGAGCCTCAGCCGGCCTGACAACAACTGTTCTGCAAAACATTTTGAAGTTGGCATCTCTTTTTTTTTTTTGTGAATATATAATGAAGACCCTTTTTATCTAATTTCTTTACATTCGTTCTTTTCTCAGTAATTTTTAGTCGGTTCTGCCGTAGTTTGGCCATTAGGTAAGGACCTCTATTTATAAAGCTCGGTCCCAA